AGGGGTAAAGTGGAAGGGGGTTGGGAAAAGGGGGCAAAGTTGTTATAGTAAAAAGAATGAATGGGAAGCCCCTCCCCTCTTATGTCGGAACCTCCCAGTGACGGAGCAGAAGAAGTCAGCCTGATTGGCCAATCTTGGAAAAGCCCGACAATTGACAGGAGAGAGAGAGGTACATTCGTCATCTTGTAGTGTTCGCTGTTTCTCTCCGTCTGTAAACCCACGTGGGATGGTAGGATACTGGTGGAGGGGGGTGTGTTGGAGGTGGGAGGGGAGGCAGGCAATGCACAAAGTCACTACACTTCTTGCGGGTCAACTTTTATAAATGTGGCGGGCACGGCGTCAGAGCCACAGTTGACGACAGAACTAGTGGACACAGGTATGATTAAGTGTGTGCATTAGGAGCCACAGCTCCCACCAAGTATTATCGTGTGCGCGTAAGAAAACACTCACGTGCTGTATTTATTACTAATTTATTCGATAATTTATTGTATTTATATCTGATATCAGTATTAAGCTTCGCGTTCTGTAACTTCGAACATCAGTGAGGATGACGTTAAGAAGGCACGCTGAGCAAGAAGACACGGGAAGTAACTGCGACCACGCCTTCAACGAGACGACGGAGACGGGACACGTGGTTGGTTTGCTGGACCGCGACCAGAGGACGGCTTTGTCGAGAGCGAAGTTCGACGACATGAGAGCGGTGTTCGTATCACAACCTTCGTCTCCGCGATGTAGTTGCAATGGCACCACCGCGCGTCGGCCAAATCTGCAGCCCCAAATTTCCCGAACACGAAGCCATAAAATCAAACGCCATCTTGTACGAAGAACGTTACACAGTAAGTAATAAATCTGCAGTAGGTCCCTCGTCCGCTCGGGGACTTTCGGTGTTCGTTTTCGAAAGGTAAAATTTTTTTTTTTTAAATATGACTGAAAATGTGACCGGGACTTGGGGTGGGTGACGACCTTCCGAATTTGACACTCGTGTGACGAAAATGTCTGTCGTCGGCGATGAAGAACCGGGTTTCGGCCCGGTGCTACGCAAATCGGTGATCATGTCTTGTCATCTGACCAGACCATATTTGTTTATAATCCGCCTGTCCTAATATTATCATCAGATTCTGAACTGGTCGCGTGGTTCCAGTCACTTAGAGCCGGTAGTCACGTGTGCGCGCGTCTGGTGGACACTGCCCAGATCCCCTTGCAGCCGAGATAAGTGACATTCACTCGTATACTCATAAGGTTCCCAGGCAATGCCCGCTCGTCCTTCCGGCACGGACAGAATATGAGTGAAGGCGGGATTTGTATTTTTATTTTAGTGAAATTATAATTTGGAAAGAAGTTTGGTAAATTTAATGGTCTCTGGAGTAAGGGAAATAATTTTGATTAATTTAAATCGGGACGACCGCGTGAGAAGCATCTCTACATTTGTTTAAAGACAGGAAAATCTGTGTTGAGGTGACCTGTCGCAGGACCTTCCGGATGCAACCCACACTGACGACTATCCAACAGTCCGGGAAACAGAAGTCGTCTAAATAATATTTAAGAATTCAGACCGTACCGCGAAGAAAACACTACACTTCACCATTACAAAGATCATCTGGTTAACGCTGTTTAAGAAATAATAGATTTTTATTCTGAGAATCGTAGGAAATTCATAAATACAACATAAAAAGTTTCTGAAGATCTGCTTTGTTACCGTCAACTGCCAATGTAGCTCACGTTTGACGCATAAATGACCTTGTGACAAGTACCACGGTGATCGCGGGCTGCAAGGCTCTGATGAATACGCGTGGGGGAGGCGATATTGACCGAAGGAAATTTCGTTTGTTTGAACCGCGCTGGGCTCGTGCGGAAAGGGAGGGAACCAGGACGCTGTTCCTCGGACGGCAACTTCCAAGAACGGGGAGCCATAGGGAAGGATTTCTTTCTTTGGACGAAGCAGCATGAGCGCAATTTAATCTTTTGCCGATAATTCACTGATGCCAATTAAAAAGGCGCTTCTACGATGGGACGTCGAAGGTGTTGTTAAGTGACGCGCGATATAATTCCTGTGGAACAGGAAATATCATTAACGTTTCCCCCGAGGAAAAAATAAACAGAATTGCTGAATGACTTCCGCGTGTATTCGTTATGAATGAACATTTCCTCTTTTCTAAGAAAAAATAAAATAAAAGACTTTCGCTATCCGTGAGCAGGTCTTCGATATCTTGGGATGTTTTATATATAACTGGCATTAAAATCAGGTGAACATGGCGATGTTCGTCTTCTGAAAGTTTCTCTTACCCATGTTGATTTGTACGTAGATACAAACCTTTCGGAGGAACATGCTGCCTCCATCTTGAGGCATTACAACCCATAAGACGGACATCGACGTGAGAAACTCAAATTTCATAAAGAAACTTCTGTCAAAGATACATCCAGAGAGCGTCACATGTCACGGAACCAGGGAAAATTGTTATGAACTCCATACTTTAGATTCGTGTAAATTAGATTAATTTAATTTTAAAAAAATATCAAAAATTATGTGATGTTTCACGGTAAGTTCTTCGCTGTAAACGAAGCAAACAAGCATTTTTATTTATTTTAACAGAAGAAAAAATATTTTACAATCGGCTAAGAAGTCACAAATTTAAAATCTCTGTGTTCTGGGATGTATGATCACGGCCTACGTTTCAGAAGAGCTCACTGCCTCTATCATCAGGTTAATGGCGGCCAGAATCCACCTTATTACACGGTGCTACGTTCAAGACGACAGACAATTTCTAAATCGTCGCCGAGTTACAAATTCACTGAACCAAAAACTATGAAGTCAGGTTAGGCATTGGGATAAACTAAGATAGAGACACGTAGATCAGAAGACGACTTGTGAATACGCCGAAGGATTTACAAATTAAAATTAAATCTCTTCTTTAGAACCAGGTTGTGTAACCTAACCGATAACATTCCGCTGATAATTTAAATAACGTACCGTATCACCAAAACATTGTATTTTATTTGTACGTAAATTCTACGAAATGATGACTCAATTTTAAAACAGAATTATGAAGAAATATTGATCTAAGCAGCCTTAAGTCTACGGCGCGTTCCAACATCGTGATCTCGTGTGTCCGTGTTTTTCCAGTAAACGTCGAGACCCTGCGACGGACCGACCCACCCAGAAAACGTCTGACGAATTAATTGAATAAGAAACAATTACGTCCTAAAAACAATACGCATGTAAGAGGGCCTACAATTCAAAGTGAAACGCGCTTAAGTCTAACTGCCCGTATTTTTATTCCTCAAACGTCGCACAAACAGTCTTGAGAACCAACGAGTATGTTAAAATCAAATACCCAGTGTTTTGCGTATCAGAGAACAGCCTCTCATGTCTCGCGAACCACTGTTTTATAACCGCCACGAAGCTTACCTTTACCATTTAAATCCGTGCAGTAACTGTATTTATGGATCTGTATGACCCTCACAGTAAACAGCGATCATTCTCTGGATGTCCGTTGTGTTTTCTTGGAGGTACGGACTGGATGTTTAACTTACACACACTCACAAGAGTTAGTGGAATTTTATCGTCTTAAACGACGGTTTCTTGAGAATTTGACGAAGAAAAATGTTACTGTTTCATCGTAATCTTAAATCGGGTGACGACTAAAAAGCACCCAATGGGACGTTGAGTTTGGACCACCCATACAGCGTGTTGCGTCCAAAATTCATACATTGGTCTACAAGGTGAAACGTGGTGCATAGACAGACAGACAGACACACTGAAAGACTGCCATTGTGCATTCACATTACGTACCCAGTTCAAAGTCACTCATAAAAATAACCTTTAACATAACAAATGCTGACCAGCCGGTAAAGAAGCTGGCATTGTTATCTCAGATGATTTTGCAGGTAAAATATAATTAGATTCAGACGACGTTTTCATTACTTTATCGTGAAGCTGGTACAAAGACAGGATGAATGCAGTAACACACTTCCTCATCCGCTATTAAATCAACCGATTTGCTCTTAAGACGCGGCAATTTTTCGCGCCTGGGGGTGATGGCCACGGACCCTAAGAACAGCTGATATTAAAAGTATCTTAAAAACTGAGTGTACCGGTAAGCATATTTTATTCGTAATCTTTTATTTAGACACTTCATGACATTAAATTTGACCTAAGCAATTCCTGTAGACTATCATATTGGGTTTGCCACGGTGGTCTAGCGGTCAGAACGCTGGCCTTGTAATCCTGGGGTCCCGGGTTCGATTCCCGGCGGTGCCCGAATTTATAACTTGTGTTGGGCAAGGCCGTGGTCTAGGCAACACGGAGTTTTCCTCCGGGGGATTCCCCGGTTTCTCCGTGGCATCCCAACAATTACTCCATTCACACACAGAAGAAGGCAATGGCAAACCACTTCTGGATCATCTGCCAAAAACGTATATGAACAGGTCCCAGTCCGAGAAAAGGATGGAAGGATGCTGTTCATATGGACCTGTCGTCAGACAGAACACTAAATAAAATAATAAAAATCATATTGGCGGAACAACAAATCTGCCCTAAAGAATGCTCTCAGTATTTCCTGAACCTGTTATATAATACAGGTGCTTAGGATGCGAGAAATTTCAAAAAAAACAACTGTAAACCACTCGCTATGACAATGACGATATAATATATTTAATCTTTAATGTTGTATCCTCTTTAAATCTCATTGTGAACTATATGTACAGTTGATACAATTTGATTTAATATTTAATAAATGTATATTACCTAAAGAACGTATTGGTTTCTTATGATTCTCAGAGCAAACAGCAATCATTTCCTTAATGATCGTTGTCATGGAGACACCTTGTGTTTTATTTGTGGTAGGGACTGAATGCTTAAATATTATATAGACGTGCTTATTCCTTCAAACTTTTCACAGAGAATAAATGCCGATATCGTATCGAATTACGTCTTTAAGTATGTCTCGATTCTCGAGAAGACCTCGTCAGAAATAAAAACTTTCTGAGGCAGACGTGAAAAACTTTCCCCGTCTTTTAGATACTCCTGTGTGTAGACTACGCCTATCTAATCCCTACCCTGAATCTAAGGACCGTGTCAACAGTTGGAGGTCGTGTGGCGATGGACGAAGTTTCTCGGCGAGGGATAAGATGATTAGTCAGTATGACGAGGCAGTAACACGCGCGACCTTCTCGAAGTCCTAATAGGATCCGTCGGACATTAAGTTTCGTAAAGGTTTTGTTTAAACATAAATCCACACGCACTTCCAAGGCGGGATAATGGGATGCTGCAGACAGATTGGACACAATGCCACAAGAATTTCACATGATTTGCCTTCCGCGACAAACCTTTCGCTATAGCCACCCACTGCGCGCAAGGACTTAAAAAGTCTGTCTCCCTGTGTGTCTGGTGCGCCGCGCGCATAAAAATATACCAAACCATCCCTGTGCCTGTTATTTACCAAAACGTAAAAAAAAAGGCAGAATTCCAGTATTGGGCTTCTGTGTTGTAACACCGCGTTCACTTGTAGGTAGTAACCAACGTTTCTCAGGAACATACCGCCTCTATCTTCAGGGCTGAAGACTGGGAAATATATCTCCCCGAAACGTTGGTATTTACCCACAAGTCCGCGCGGCATTACAACCCAGAAGATCAACGCCGGCATGTTCACAGCCTTGAAAACCTCAAATCTCGTTGGAGATGAATCACAAGTTTTTTTTCATCATAATTCCGCTCCTCTGGTAAAATATTTCGATAAGTTGTATCAGGGGAAGCGAAGGGTGTTGGTCGCCTGGGACGGCGTCAGGTCGACGGAAGGACAGAAGACGCTCGCACACGAAGATTTGCAAGTCGAGGACC